TCGTTTGGTCTCTACAATGCCATATGAAACTCATAAACACATTACCCTCATTTGCGTTGCGCAGACGGGTAAAAAGAGAGAGGTAAATAAATAAATTATAGAAGATATTTTGCTTGTTGCATCACTGTTTGAAGATGTGGGTCAAGAAGGTCGAGTCCCTTACAGGTTCAAGATTTTATCACCTGATTATAGCTGTGATTGAATCAAAATCAAAACGATCAATTGCGATCGACATAGATTAACTCGAGTACACAGGTAGAGTCGAGGCCAATCTAGAACATTCTAGATGTGGTATTATCCATATATATATATATATTGGTATCGGGATATGAAACAACGAACGAATAACCCATCCACGTCCAAGACAATACAAAAGTTCCTTTTCTACATTGACGTACAAGGTTGCTACGTAACTATATTGATTTCGACTTGGATGATCGAATTCGATGTGGATTTTGATTTTGATCAACATAAACAAAAACAAAGTAAAAAAATATATAAAAATACAGTTCAAACTGGCATGGAAAACAGACCACAAAGAATATTGTACTATTATTGGAAATAAAGTTATTACGCTATAAAAAGTTGAGTGTATTTTGATTGAACCCAATGAACATCAAATTGAAGTCTATATAGGAGCGCGTTAAGCTTGCAGGATAGATAGACATCGAGTCCGGGAACGCGAATAGGGAGCCATGAGCCCACCATGGTGGTCCATTCTGAATTAGTGGGTGGTAATAGAAACGACTACATGCATAACCGAAACGCTCAATGTGTCAACCTCAAGATAAAAAATTTTTTGGGCGTCCATACCAACCCTTTCGATAGTTGTTTGACTTCCACATTGCAGACCGAACGCGCTAACCACTGCCCCTGTGCGTGAGTGCAGTTAGTTTTTAATTAATACACCGACACCATTGAAAGTATCGTTTACATTTCAATATAAAACTCAATACGCTTTCCGAGTGTCCTGTTACCTTGGCATTATTATTAATTTTCAACGCAAGGCCGTTTCATTAATAACATTCTTTATTTTTTTAAACGATACAAATGCTATTTGTTATCTCCTTAATATATAGATGAATGATAAAGAAAAGCTTAGGGCCAACACTCCAACAGGCAACAATTATACGAATAGCGTTTTCATAAGCTATAGGTATTATAATATTAATATGTGAAACAAAAACTTTGGTCTCCTCTTTACGAAAGAGGCACGGGCAGGTCTAGGAGAGCATTATATGGCAAAGTTACAGTTAATAATGCCAAAAGTAGAACAGGTGTAGAATGTGAACTTTTTTTTTTATAATAATGATTCAATTTTATATTAAATTTTAACCTTTTATTAATGGCTTATGTTTTATAATAAATAAGTCAAAAATCTTACGCAAACTATTATGCGTTAAACACATTTGTTTACTAAACGTCAAACAATAATAAAGGAGCAATATAAGTCATTGATAAAAAAACATTTAAAAAAAAAACAGAATTTTATGGTTCAATTTCGAATATAGGTAGGATTATTATATGAACGCTTCCGTAACGAAATTGACATTATAGATACTACATAATCGGTATCATAATGGACGAAACGTCTGCCTCAGTAACCTGTTACTGTCCTATTGTATGACAATAGATTTGCGACGAGACTAGACATTCCGTGCGTATCACAAAACGATATCAATGTATACTTACTGATGATGATAATTTCGGTGTAAACACATCATAAGCAAAACAACAACATAGAGTTGGTTATAATATAGGTACAAATAAATTTTAACCAACAGTGAGGATTGTTATTAAATAATAGTTATTTAAGATACGAGTGCGGAAAGTAAGGTTTTACGAATAAGGGCCAAATTGAAAACAAGAGCGTAGCGAGGGTTTCCATTGGCACGAATTCGAAAAACCTTTTACGCTCAAGTTTCTTACAACATTTTTCAATGCTTTTTGCGAGGAAATAAAACAAATATATGGGTTAATAAAACTAAGTATGTATTAAAGGTAAAAATTATTTGTTAAAATGAAACGTGATATTTGAACATGTTTTTGTGTCATACATTTTTATTTGAAAATATTCGTTCTAGGCTCCTTGAAATACTTTTGCCTCTAAAGTTTGAGATACTTTCATCAATTTTTTTTTTAATTAAAAAAAAATCAAGAAATACTTTTAAGCACGTGTGCAGTAAAAGATTTCAGTACATTTTTATTTAACACCTGTTTAAAGACTCACTTTCGGTGTTTATAATGGATTAAAAAAATAGCGCTTTATGAGCAATTGAATAAATATTGTTAATATACTTTTCGAAACCATTCCATCAAACGACCATCAACACTTTTAGTGAAAATTTAGAAGGTACGAACGTTCACTTGTAAGGGTTAATTTAATTACACATGTCATAGAACTGAATTCAAACAATAAAAGGCTATTTGTTTTGGCGTCGGCGTGTATAAAATACGAAAAAAAAATATTTACTCCAAATCTAAATAAAGAGGAGGTCCCCGAACTCTCGCGCAGACGCCGCCCCCTCTCGATTTCCGCACATTCAATGAGCCGTGACGACCACAATAGCTTGCCTGAATTTCGTTCAACATAAACATACAAGCTAATGTAACTATCTCAATTCTATATAGTCGTATGACCACAACTTATGTCATAAGTAAGGAAAGGTTACTTGTCTATGATATAACAACTGGAATCCGTTGTCGCGTAATCATTTATACATTTATAATAGACTAAGAACTTTAAACGCGTATTTACATCCCAAAGCAAAACTCATTGAAATACTTTATATATGGAATTTTAAAGTTTAAAGTGTACCGGCCACGGGGAATGGCAAGAGACAGATATTTAAGTTTATTGTGATTGTTGCGCTTGAGTTCATTCGTGTGTATTGTATGTACATTGAGTATATGACACGAGACTCACCGAGCCACTGGGTGTAACGGCCGAAGTTTATTAGATGATTCGAGGATGGCTGGCCATTTGGCTATTGGCATAATAGCTACAGACTGGACGGCACAATCGCACCAGCCCCGACCGGCACATCCCGTCATATATTCAAGTACAAATCCATTTACATCTAAACTTGACATCGGAGATTTCAATATGTAATGAAATTCAATGCGTTACCCATATAAGTCGTTTAGAAGTGAAAAATAAAGGTAATATGTTTTTTTAAATAAAAACATTGGTTTAAATTACTCGTCAAAAATGGATTATAGAAGACTCTAATTGTGGGGCAACAGTGGAAAATAATAATAACGAAAACATTTGGTCGTTAGCAAAACTCCAAGGCTGCCGTCATTAATGAAGATTTGCAAAGTTTTTTTTTAAGTAGTAGTATCTAATAATATACCGAAGAACTTGCCGCGGTTCTTCACAAATTACATCGCAAATTGACGCCCACACTACCGAGCCAAGCAAGAACTATCTCGACTTGTGCGTTAAACATGCATAATATAACATCCTGCTTTTTCAAGTTGGTAAATTGAATCCGCCGTCTGACAAACAAAACAAAAACGCAGTCAATTTGCAAAACGTTCTGTGAATAAGGATAAATTAATATAGATTTTCACTAGCGTCTAAATATATAGTTAATATATTCGCGTTCGTTTGTTTTTGAACATTCGCTTTAGCATTCGCAAAATTTGAGCAATTATGAATATCAGGAAAAACTCAATTTGGGGAAAATTTTATTAGTCTGTCATAATGAAACATTCATAATTTCCTTTTTTTCTATTATTAGAGAAGGTCACTTAATCCCATAATCACATTCTCAGCCTTCACTTTACATTTTACTGCTACTTTGGTTAGTAGAGTTTAAGATTCATATTTATACTGAACTAGCTTTCGCCAGCGGCGTCGCCCGCGTGGATCCTGGGGAAATGTTAAGTGGGATAAAAAGTCTATTATCTAAGTCAGCTAATACCCTATCTGTATACCAAATTTCATCAAAATCCGTTCAGTAGTTTCGGCGTGATTGACGGACAAACATCTAAACATCCAAACAAAGAAACTTTCACATTTATAATATTAAAATATAGGATAACAATTAACTTCTCATTAGAACTTAAATGGGTGCGATTATAAATTGTATATATAGAGTGGTAAATTGGTGTACGAAATAGAACACCAATTTACCACTGTTATTTTTATAATGCATCCTAATGAAACAAAAACAAATTCTTATCGGAAACTTTTATCATATATGTAAGTTTTTATTGTTAGATAATCATCTCCATGTCTGATACTTAAAAAACTAAGTCATACACCCAGTTGCACAGACATGCAATAAGGTCTAATGTTGACTTTAAACTCTAATAATTTTTTTAAATTTGTATAAGTAATTAATGATAAACTAATGACAATTTTAAATGGACGTTGGTGCAAAATGGTGTATGACGTCTGGCGCCAAATTAAGTCGCATTCGCAAATGTTGGCAGTAGATATTCGCTTTTGCATATTAAAAAAAAACATTTGAACACTATACCTAAAATATTACATAAAGATAAAAAAGTATAATTTGTCATAAAACAAACATAGAAGTTTATAAGGCCAGGGTGTCGACATTTTATACAAACGAAAAACTCGAGTTGAACGACCGAAAGTCATGACTTTGACTTCTGGCCTCTAAATTCTGAATGTACGTCGTCTGTGAGTTATTTGCTTATCAATCCGAATCCTCACTTATAATTCAAAATAGGACTATTTTCAGAGTAATAAAATGGCGAAAACTGCACCGAAAACTATGTAGTAACGATTCTGCTATTGCTTCAAGACTAAGAAGATAAAGAGTAAAAACTTCAAGCGCTTTAGAATTTTTAATAGGTCATAAGTGTCGAACAATGGTATCAGTTTATACACTTCAGTTTAATATCAGTTTTTACGTGTACCAACAATGAAAAATTACATAATAGCCAGTTTATATTCTGAATTAGAAATGTAACTAATCTTATCACTATGATGTTGTGCTAAGGTACAATATCGCGTGTACACTTACAAGTAAGTGATCCAAACAGTGTGGCGTCGCTCCCGCTACAAGAGCTGGCGTCTCATCGATCGACCACTGGCACTGCCTGAGGACAAAGAACATTCATGAATAAACATAAATAAATAAACGTAGATGGTACGATTAAATAACTATCATAGGTGTACGTTCTTCTAGAAGAGGACATACTAGCTCTGCTGTGTATTGAAAACAACATGGCTTTGAAATACGAAAACCTGTGATAAAATACTCCTTGCGAAACAAAATAAAAAAGATCATAGATCTTAAAAATCAACCATTATGTTGTTTCAGTTTAGAATATTAACACATGAAATGCAATCTTTATACACCAGAATATAAGGGTGAAAAGTTCGACCATTGTCATAACCTAAATAGCTTCTGTACGATACAACTGCACTACCCATGCTATTGCTATTCTTGGTGCATTCCTGCAGGTTCAAATGGGTACAATTTACGGAAACCACTATTTGGGACACCGCATAACGGGCTGCATATTGCAAAACGATAATCAACCTTATTACACAATGCTTGTGGGTTAACTTCGACAAGTTTGCAGTTTGCCTAATTCCAATGACTAATATACCTTTTTACACTTCAGAAGAAAATTACTTGAAAACTATTAATTTTTATTCAAAAACACTAAATAGTGATCATTTAGGACAGGAATGCTACTAAAAAAAGTGGTTGTCAATTCTGTAGATAACACACATATTTTACTGGAACGATGCGTATTTCAAAATCTGAAGTTTATATAAAGTCAGTCTATTTTTTTTTAATTCAGTCAGGCGTGCTTTGAAATGTCCCAAAAACGTTCAGTGCAGACAGCCCAGAGCCATTCATAACGAATTTCAAATTACTTAGTCGAGCAAAAACCGGAATGGCTCCATAAAATAAAAGGCAGGAATAATTCGACAAACCCTACATCTCAGCAGAAGTGTAGTCGAGCCGGATCTCTAACAATACTCATCCTTGGGCAACCCTCAACTCGTATTCATTCATAAAAGCAACCTTGAGGTGCCCCTCTTTCTATCCCACCTCAATCTTAAAAGGTCTTATGGAATATAACAAGATTTTTTATGAGTCAATGAGACCGGGGGCCTAATTTTCTAACTTTAAAATCTATCTCAAACCCGTTTGACTTTACATTGGAAAGATATTCACTAACTTCACGCTACAACTATTTGACCTGTGATGAATGAATGAAAGATTTGACGTTAAGGATCTTTATTTGACGTTAATTGAAATATTACTTTAAGTTGCCGAGTCTTTATTATATTTCTTGATCATTCAAATTATCATTCGGTCCGAAAGCCATCGCCACATTACACAATTCCATGGATCGCTATACATTTGAAAGGTATTTCTATAGGTTTCGAAATTGGATAATTAGACAATTGATAATAAAAAAAGCGAATGCGTCAGTGTTTCAAATTCAACTTAGCGTATAGTCTACAATTTTACTTTCAAGATTATTAAAGCGTCACACTGGTGATTGATGTTTATGTATATAGATATATATTCATGGTTGACGTATCGCTACCGTATATTATTTTTTATTTATTGCCTAAAAACAAAAGCGAGTAATTCTTTACATTTTCTAATTCATCAGATTATTGTTTAATACAGAATGTATCGATCGATACTTTCAAGTGAACGGGCAAATAAAGTACTTAATGAGATGAAAATCATAAGGAGTTTCAAACATAGTCATCGATTCTCTAGTTTGCAATAAAAAAAAAATAAATAACGCAACCATGTCGATTGTAGGCAATAATATACACGGGCGTAGTAGCAGCAAAAAAGCTAGTTAAATATAAGTTGTTACGAAGGTTGCGGGGTCAACTAGTTTGTTTTAAAATTACAAACGCTTAGTGTTGTTATTTGCGATGTACCAAGAACAGGGACGGGGCGTCTAATCCACCGGTGGCCGCAATCCCATAATTGTATTACTGGCGCGGCGAAGCATTGCGAGGTTGCCAAGCCAGTTGCCAACTCATGGTGAATTTTGTCACGTCAGCCGCTTTACATACTAATTGGACCAAATACACTTCGATTTTTTTTTTTATTGAATCACGATTCAAAATCATCATCAAAACGACAAGGAAGGAATCAGTAAATTATGGACGGAAAAAATTACATAATTCAACTCGCCATCTCACTAAGGAATTCAAGAAACACATACTGAACGGTAATGGCTTGACAATTTGAATTGAATTTTATAGCCATCCATTAAGATCGTTGTTTTTTGAATTTTCACATAAATTTCAATTTTCTTCTCATCACTTTAAGATTCATTATCTGGATCCTATTTTTTCTTTTTTCAAACGAAAAAAAAAGCTTCAAGTCTCACAGAGAAAGCATTCGTACACCCATTCACCGGTAGTACATACAACGTTAGAAATGCGTGTGATTATTTGCTGATATCAAGTGTAGACAATTATATATAATCACATGTATCATTTATGTAATTTCCTTGAACGATTTACGACCAAGTGAGAAAAGTTGTGATCACAGAATAAACGAATGTGGCAGTCACGCGAGCGATTATAAATTGTAATACAGTTGACATTATAAGACTGGAATCTTGATTTAAGTAGGTGGCTAAACTATAAAATAATATTTTGATTGAAAAACGAAGGCTTAATTTGCACATAACATAGTGTGCAGTATCTGAAATATTTACAACATTTCTGCTACCTTTGAAACTACGTCATCATTTTTAGTCTTTTGAAAATTCAATGTATCAAGATCCAAAACCTCATCTTAGATATTAAGGAAGACTTATCCATTATCCGCTTCTTCAGTAGCGGAGGCGCCCGATTGGTTTTATTCCATATAGTTTAGATGCAGTTTTAAATAATATTATAGTATCAACAATTAAGTATAAGTAGTATAACATACAAAAGGGATTTATTTTTTAACTAATATGAAATATGTATTTGCCGTAAACTTTTCAGCCGCCGTAAAATTCAGAAACATCCGTTTTGCAAGACTTTTAATTAGACATAACAAACAAATAATAAAGGTAAACGCAATCGTAAAGATTTCAGATATGGCGATGTGGTATCAGCTTCATGGACTGAAGTGTTGGACGACGACCAACGTGGGAACCGTATACTGAGCAGAAGCATAACCTGTATCATCTTGTGTAACTCAATCGGTCATGAGGTCAGCAAATAGCTTGTGCAAGTTACATAATCAGTTGTCAGTAAGCAGTAAATTATGAACTTTGATCGCGGTCTGCTTCACATGTGTTACCGCTACACGTACGCATCGACTGCATTCCGAGTTGAGTAACAATTAATTGTGACTATTAAATAACGTTTAAATAACAATAATTCATTGTTTATTAATGAGTTAAACAGTGAGTGACGCACATTTTTTTTTTTTATCGAAATCTAAGCAATGGTAGAAGGATACTTTAATTACGTTTTCAAGATTCTGAATCATCTGCATATCGATGTCTCCATTGCTGAGCCACAGGCTTTCTCTATAGGTGGAGTCGAATCGATGGCCTGTGACCCATCACGCGGACCAAACGCGGATTCGTGTGTATTAACGTCGGCAGACAACCAGGACCAACGTGTTTTTTGAAGCACGGCGGAGCTCACTGCGCCATCTAGTTTCACCGAGAGAACTTTCTCAATGCGAATGTTTAAATTAATGACAGTACAAAATGCCCGCGAGACATTGCGTGCCTCCGAGCAATGACTTTGCAGAGTCTCTAACGGAAGATAGGCATAACCGCCTGTCCACGGAAAGATACCATTCATCATGATGATGGTAAACTATTCGGGCGTCGCCGCTTTAGTATAGATTAATAATATGTTAAGAATTAAAATATTTTTTACTTGATACACTTAAACCGAATAAACCGTAAAAGCGTTATAAGGGTAATAAAATTACTTTCCAAAGGGTTTTTTATTTGTACAACTTTTAATACACTTTCAAATAACTCATGGGAATCCGTGATCCGATCGCTTACTTTGACTTATTGACAATTTATCATCTATTTTCCCCTGTTAGGGGTTTCAATATTCCACATTAGGGATTACATTTAATTTCCGGTTAATTTCATTTATATGTTATAATAACTATTAGTGTGCCATACTTCAGCTCCATTCGTCAGTAAGTCAGTCGGATTTTTTCAATAAATATGACTAGACATCGCAAAGTTAATACTATCGATCTCCAATAATACGTCTTCACTAATGTTCTAAAGAGGTTTTATATAATTTGCATTGAGTAGGCTCCGAAACTATTGGATCAATTAAAAAAAAAAATACCAATGTAGCTATATAGATGACATGGGCTATAATTTACGCATACGAAGTAGCAGGTCTGCAACTAGTACATTATTAATTTTGATACTGGCCTGACAAATGTTGAATGTCATGATAATAAATATGCTATCTAACTTAGAGACAGTGAGTCCGTTCGTTTGACCTCATCTAAATAAAGGGCACGCATACGCGTATCTCATTAAGTGAAGGCATGCGGTAAAAGGCGCCTGTCACATTCGCAACAATGTGAAGCACATCTGTTCATTAATTTATATTTCAATTACGAAATAACAGACGCATTATTATTAATTATGTATCTACAACAGAAACAAAAATGTATACTAGTTAAAGTATTTGATTGTTGCTAATAGTGAGCTTGACGTTGAATAATCATACCAAAACGATATGTAATCAAGACACGATGCAAGTCAAATGAGTCAGATAGATTAGACACAGAAATTTTACGTAAAACAAGCACAAAAAATAAGTTTATTCACTTACGGTTATAGTATATCTGATATAGATGGAAATGACGGGTGAATTTAGAATCCGGACGATTGGACGCGTGCATGTGTCAGGTGGTGCATATGTTATCATCATGCATAAAATTCTAAAACTTCTTTCGTTTACTTCCTTCGGCGCGTTCATTTTGATAGATATTCGATCTTTACTCATAAACTATAAAGTTCACAACTTGGATAGGTAAGTTATACTTTTATAATAATGAAACGTAGCGTAATAACATCAAGTAATTTGAATTTTGGAGGTATCTTTACTTTGATTT